TATATTCTTTTTTTTTTTTTTGGAGTGTACTGTTTGCCAATTTTTTTTAAAAAATTTTTTTACTGCTGCAGATATATTCTTATTCTCCCCACAGAGAGAGAAATATTCTGTTCTCTACCTGGGATCGAACTCACAGCCTCTTGACTGTGAGGCAAAAGAGTCCCACCTCTAGGGCACTGCGACCAGGTAGAATCCCACCCCTGGGTGGGTCTGAAGTCGAGGACCACCTGTGCCCACCTCAAGCTTCCCCCCCTCCCCCTCCCAGCTTGTCCCCTCACCTGCTCGCACTGGCCGTAGAGATCGATCAGGACGTAACAGGGGCTGGGGATGTCCTGGGCCGCCACCCCCTGGTCGACCCCGTTGATGTACAGGTGGAGGCAGCCGCTGGTGTCCACCAAGACCCCCAGCACCGTCCCCTCGGGGCAGGTGTCCAGGTTGGGGCCGTAGTTCTCGCAGATCTGCAGAGGGCAAAACCCCCGGAAAGGCTCAGCCTCCCCCTCAAATCCAGGCCTGTTTCTTTCCGCTTCCCACCAACGCCCCCCGCACACCGGGTGCGCACCCAGCCGCTCCCGGCGCACCTTGAGGGAGTTCTGGAAGACCGAGTCGCGCTGCAGCAGCCAGGTGGAGGGCTTCAGACAGCAGGCCGTGGCGGGAAAGTTGAGCCGCTCTGGGGAACTCCCGATGACCCCCAGCGAGAGGGACGAAGTCCACTGGGGGTTGAGCGAGTCGATCTGGAACTGGAAGAGAGCCGGGTAGAGAGAGAGAGAGAGAGAGAGAGGGTGTAGTGGCAAGGAAATTCCTGCAGGTGGTGCTAGTATTCCTGCAGTACTTTTCCTGCCTGGGCCTCTTCCCCTTATCTGGCTCTGGGCTGGCTAGCCATTATATCACCTTGGGCTTATCAACCAGATGTGACCAAGGTTGTCACGAGCAGAGATAGGATTTTTTCTCCTTCTGAGATCATTATTCTTCTCAAGGGGGGGTTAAGAGTTTCACCAAGGCTGCCTCTACTCTCCAGTCCCAGCGCCGCCGGAATGTCTGCCGCCTTTCGTTTTGTGTAAAAAGTCATATAAAAGGCCATAAACGCCGCCCAGGCGGTCCCTGAAATGGCCGGTCTTTGAATCCCGTGGTTGGGAGGGGGGGAGAGAGGAGAAAGCCACGGGGACCCCCCCCCCTTTCTGCCTTTGTTCTTTTCCCTTGACCAGAGGAAGGAAGGAAAGGAGGGAGGGAGGGGAGGAAGAAAGGAGGGAGGGAAGGGAGGAGGAGGAGAAGGGAGGGAGGATGGAAAGGAGGAAGGACACAAAGGAGGAGAAGGGAGGGAGGGAGGGGGGGGAAGGAAGGAAGGAAGGAAGGCAGGCAGGAAGGAACAGGAGGATGGAAAGAAGGAAGGAGGAGGAGAAGGGAGGGAGGATGGAAAGAAGGAAGGACAGAAGGAGGAGAAGGGACGGAGGGAGAGGGGGGAGGTAGGAAGGAAGGCAGGAAAGAAGGAACAGGAGAAGGAAGGAGGATAGAAAGAAAAGGGAGGGAGGGAGGGAGAAAGAGAGGAAGACAGGATGGAAAGAAGGAAGGAAGAGGAGAAGGGAGGGAGGATGGAAAGAAGGAAGGAAGGAGGAGGAGGAGGGAGAAGGGAGGGAAGAGATGGAACAGAGGAAGAAAGGATGGATGGAAGGAAGAAGAAGGGAGGGAAGGAAGGAAAGAGGAAGGGGGAAGAAAGGATGGGAAGAAAGAAGGGACAGGATTGAAAGAAGGAATCAAAGGAGAAGGAAGGGAGGGAAGGAGGGAGGGAGGGAGAGAGAGAGAGGAAGGAAGAAAGGATGAAATGAAGGAAGAAACAGAAAGAGAAGGAGAAGGGAGGGAGGATTGAAGGAAGGAAGGAATCAAAGGAGAAGGGAGGGAGGGAGAGAGAGAGAGGAAGAAAGGAAGGAGAGAAGGAAGGAAGGAATC